AATTCTTTACTCAGAGGATGGTGAGGCACTGACACAGATTGCCCAGAGAAGCTGAGAATCCCCATCCCTGGAGGTGTTCAAGGCCAGGCTGGATGGGGCTGTGGGCAATCTGGGCTGGTGTCCCTGCCCTTGGCAGGGGGGTTGGAACTAGATGAGCCTTAAGATCCCTTCCAACCCAAATAATTCTGTGATTCTGTGATATTCAGGCTTGAAAAGTAAGCTTTAGTAATGGAGATTTTTTTTTTTTTAAATTCAGTTTGTGGTAAATTCCAGTTTTCACTTCATTTCAGCCTTGTAAAATATTTTTTTCTATATATGTGCTCTTGATTCCTCGGTATCTGTTTAAGTTTGTTAGTGTCTTAAGTGTGGACATGAGAACTGGCTACCATAATACAGCTTTCTTCTCAGCTTGTACTTGGTATGTCCCGGTTAATTTATCATGGAAGTTTCCCTTTTAAGTTACTGATACATCAGCAACAGTTTCATCTAGTAGAGTTCTGTATTTCAAGCTGCCCGGATCTCCAAATATTTTGCATAAACATTGACTGAACAGTTCTTCATAAAATTCCTCAAGTTCAACTTCATAATTAACTGTCGCTGGGAATATGACATGCTTCACTCGTGGAATACAGCCTGAATTCTGCTTTCATAAGGCAGCACAACATCTATCTTGTGTGTCAAGTGAAATTTTAATATCTACTTAAGAAGTTTAGACCTCTTGTCTGTTTACATACTTTACAACGCTGATGGCTTCTTTTACATCCCAAAGAGGTGTACTAATTCCTATTACTTGTCCCTGGGCTGCAGTGCTAAACTCCTGAGCTCTCCTGTGCACAAGCTATACTTGTGTAAGTGTAATGCAGTATAAAATATATATTCGCCTTTCATCCCTACTGTGAGTGCCAAAACAAATATCAATTGTTACTTAGCTTAGTGCTGCTAAGAAGATGTTCCGGTTATTGTTATGTCAAAGAGACAAAGGCTGCCAAATCTGTAAGAACAGAAATGTGGTTCAGTGAAGTATGTAAAATATGAAGGACAAGATTTATTCCTAGAGCCCTAAGGGGTTGAAGGGAGCAGGGAATAAAGGCTCTGTTTGGAACAAGAATGTGATCCCTCATAAAGGGAATGCTGATGGGACAAGTGGAAGGGTTAAAGGAGGAAAGATTTAAAAAAAAAAACACAAACAAACCACTGGCTGTCTGTACGGATGGTTATAGGGGAAAGATGGTAAAAGATTCTGATGTATTTTGTTAGTGTTTCTTTGAAAGAATTTAGGGAATCCCCACGCAGAGAAAAAGTTGATGAGAGAATTTAGGGATTTGGGTTCACAGTGGTAAAAAGGTTGTAGAGCTGGGGGTGTGAAACCTTAATGTATTAAAGAAATAATTTGAAGCAGTAAGAAGTTTGAAATTAAGAAGGACGGAATGACTTAATAGTGCATGAAAGTTTATTTGAACAGAATATTTGCTACAGGTGGCTCACAAAAAAAATGTCCTTACAGTGACATTGATCATGTTCCTCAATGTTCATATGTGCATCCCTTTAGGTCCCATACACACATATATATTTGTGGCTCATTACAAGGATTCAGATGTAGTTTTTCTAACTAAAGAGGAGGGGTATACACATGCCTTCTCTGAATCTGAGCAATAAGCTGGTTTTGCTTTTTCAAGGTTTTATGTGCATATGTATGTAAGTGTGCTGTACCTAAGTCACTCTGAAAATATTTCAAGTCAAGTCTCTGTCAAGTGCTCTGGAGAATTCAAGTGACCACAAGTTAATGCTGGGCTACAGCCACAGTAACCGTGTGCATTTTCAGCCCAGAGTCACTAGATCATTCGTCTTACTTTTTAGACTTAATTTTGGTGGATGTGTCAAGTGTCCACCTGAGGTATAGCCTTAGGATGTTTAATTTAAATGAATACTGTAACATATTGTCAGCACGATTGTATAAGCATGTATATATGCCCATATCTGTAAAAAGCAGGTATGTCACCTTGTGGTGCATATAGAAATGAAGTGACAGTGCTTGGTATTTGTCTAGTCCCAGGCCACTGTCCCTTCCATTTCCTTTGTTGGGAGATCACGCACAGTGGAGTAAGGCAGTTGCAGTGAACATAAAATTACATGCTTGTATGTTACTATATGTACCTTAGCCATTCGGTTTCTGAAGATGAAACAGCCTTGATCAAGTCAACGACTAATGGGAAAGTTTGAGCCTGCCCTGCTGCAGCATTTCCCTTCTGTCCAATGACTTCCAAGTCACAATGTAGAGTTAATGCCATCTCAGCAGCTTTGCATTGGAGCAACTCACTTGAGTTACAAGGTAAACATCGAGCTGTATACACAGTAAAATGTCTACCTTCCTTCCAGAAAGTGGCTGAGATCTCCTGGGAGATCTCATACACTTCCCAGGCATTCTCTTCAAGCACTAACTTAATTCCGTCTAGCTCTCTCTCTCTCTGTGCAGTTCGGTATGCAGTTCCGGGCACCACAGTACAAAAAGGACATGAAACTACTGGAGAGTGTCCGGTGAAGTGCTGCTAAGATGCTGAAGGGCCTAAAGGGGAAGACGTATGAGGAGCAGCTGAGGTCAATGGGCCTGTTCAGCCTGGAAAAGAGGAGGCTGAGGGGAGACCTCACTGCAGCCTACAGCTTCCTCACAACGGGGATTGGAGGGGACGACCTATTCTCGTTAGTTGCCAGTGATAGGACCCAAGGGAATGGTGTCAAGCTGCAACAGGGGAGGTTCAGGCTGGACATCAGGAAGAGGTTCTTCACTGAGAGGGTGGTTGCACACTGGAATAGGCTCTCCAGGGACACAGTCACTGCACTATGCCTGTCGGAGTTTAAGAAGCATTTGGACTGTGCACTTAGTCACATGGTCTGAATTTTTTGGGTAGACCTGTGTGGTGCCAGGAGTTGGATTCGATGATCCTTGTGTGTCCCTTCCAAGTTGGGATATTCTGTGATTCCGTGGTTCTCTCCCTGGGGAAGAGGTTCCTGCCTGCATACCCAGTGCAGCACCTTGTCCTGCCTGCCTTGAGATCTGCCTTTCAGATACTACCTGAAAACACCATGAATAGTTTTGCAAAGATGGGACTTTTTCCCAGCACTAGGTCATCATTTGAATACTGTTTTGTAGAACTTTTGACATGTTTGGTCCGTCTCATCCTCTTCAGTTTTTTACTTTTTATTATGTGTGTGGGGGAGGTACTGAGGAGGTGAAATGGACACAGATCATGACATCCCAATTAAGAGTTGCATCTGATCTTTGTTTGGAAGCAAAGAAGTCTTGGACGGGCTCTATCTTATAATTCAGTGTTGTAATCCTTTCATTTGCCACAGAGGTTAGAGTAAACAAGTTTGTTTCTGAAAAGAACTTATCTCTGGAAAAAAAAAAAAAAAAAGCCTCACCTATACAGTTTATTCCTGTGAATCTATGTTCTCCTTTTGCTGAAGTTGACATGTTTCCAAGAATCATTGCAAATGTGGCTGCTTGCCATTTCAACATCCAGCTCGTTACCTTGTGTGTGGTACTGCCTCTTTTTCACACGTAATGAAGCGTCAGAGCCAAGTGCAGAGATAACTGGCTTCGTGCTTGTGTGGCTTGTTCTCAACTACAGCGTTGCAGATAAACAGTGTCGCTGCATGGAGTCTGTGCTATCAGCACTTGCTACCAAGAGTGAAACAAAATGTTCTGAGTACAATTAGGTAATCAGAAATTAGGACATTTCCCTCGTGTTGCCCATAAAGTAGCTGAGATCTTTTCTACTGTTGAGCAGGATTTCAAAATATTTTGGAAAGACTACTGGAATAATTTCCCCTTTGCTTTTGTAGTAGGATTCTGACTTTGTCACATGGAGATGATTTCCACTTGCTAATATCCTACCAAGTGTTTGGAAAGAGGAATTTGTCAGTAGTCCTTGTTAGCTCATTTCAGTCAACAGCTGCCTTAGACTTTACAGCTTTGTTTCAGTCTAAGCTGTCCCTTTATTTTTGAAAAACACAATTGTGGCTCACAGGTCAATTAGTCTCTGTGAAATTAAGAGATCTTTTGAAAATTCACAATTAAATCACCTTAGGACTCCTTATTGAATTACATAAAAGTGTAACCTCATAAAATGTGAGCAGGCTGTTTCTGAAAAGTGGGTTATAAGAACTTGATTGTGTATATTATGGGGTAAAAAGTAAAGCCTTACCATGTATGAACCTCTCCACTAATTTTGTTCCATGGTATATATCAATGGAACTAATTGAAGATTTCACTTCAGCTAACAATATATAGAAGGATTTTTTAAGCCTAATTAGTATTTCATGTAATTCTTGTTTTGCAAGGAAAATTCCTTCATTTATTGTCAAATGTTAGTTTAATTTTGCTCTATATTCAGTTTAAGGATTTTCTCATCTGGTATTTTTTTGTTATTGTTGCTTTTTTTTTTTTAACATAGTTACAGAGGTGTCAGCCTTTTACACATTGCACTGTCCTTTTAATGAAAAAGGCAGTGTTACTTTCTTAAAACTAGCAGTTTATGAGTTTCTACACTGTAGTTTATTCGCTAATATATTAGGAGTGAGATACTACTCATCCAAACCCTGTTTGTGATAATTCTGATTTTCCTTCAAGGCTGGCTGATTTACACTGAAATGTACATTGAAAATGAGTCTTGATCAGTCTTCCTGACTTCCTTTTGCCATTTGAATCTGTGTTCATCTGCTTTAATGTCAAGGTTAGCATAGGGTGCTGCTGCTTGGCAAGCCCCCAGTGACAAAGGGGGTTTCAGGCAGCCGTCGCTGTTTGAGTGAGAAGCCCAGGTGCACCTCGCAGTGCCATTGTGGAGGCTGCCCAGCTGGTGGCCTTTCCCAAGACCGCCTTCCATAAAGAAGGACAGTGCCAAGGCAACTATACTTAAAATTATGTTATGTCATCTCCCCACCACTGTGACCTTCATCGTTCCAGAGCTCATGGTTTCTCTGTTTCCCCTTATTTTGCATAGGTGCTGGGATGGCTGGAGAAGGTCGCACTTCGCAGCTGAGCTGAGGGAGGCGTGAAGCATCATCCATCCCCTGCTGACATTTGAGGTAGTGTGCTAACTTTTATCTTAACTGCAGGAGACTTCATGGTGAATGTTGGGTAAGCAGAGTGATCAATAGAGCCCTGTAGTGCTCTGCAGGCAATCCTCACAATTTCTCTATTTCATTCCTACAGAGGACAATAATGCTGTAAGAATTCTGAATGAGATTCCAATCATTATCTTATGGCATACCCCCCAAAACAGAAATATTTGAATTAAGGCTATCAAATTCCATCCAGCTGTAAGTTGATGGCTTCATTTTTTGCTGAACTCCAGTGGCCGGCATTTGAGACAAAGGGCTTAGTAACTGATAGAAGCACTTCAAAGCCATTTTTCCATGTCAGAGAAAAATTATTTTACTGTGTTTTCATGAAACACTTTTCATTCATGAAGTTAACTAAAATATTAGTTGCTTAGTTTTTTGAATGCAGAATATTAAAACTAATGGGATAACATTCTGTGTTTTTCCAGGGAGAGTGAGCTTGGAAATGCATATTGGAATATAGTAGATAGAAAGTCTTAGTTTAAATGACTCTTAAATGGGATCCAGAATGAATTCAAGTAGTTATTCTTGTTCATATCTGGAGTGCATGTCTGGCAATTTGATCAAATTACAGTAGGGGTAAATCTGAATCAAACGTCATAAAAATACACTGTGGGTACAGGTTCCAGGCTCATGATTGCTTAGGCTGTGGAATTGGAAAGCTGTTATCTAGAGTTAAATGATTACATACTGCTTTACTGCTGCTATCTGTGTGCAATAACAGTTTTATGAGGCTTAATTGGTTATTCCTGTGTAAGTGTACACAAATGTAATGTTACTAAAAAGAATAGAAATTCTTTGGCTGTGATACACTAGGTAGAACTTGCCACACTATGTCCATATTTTTAATGTTTCTAAAATTAGATGGTTGAACTCTAGATGCCTTCATTGTACCATGAATCTGTGCTTAAGAGACTTTTCTAAGGTTATACTAAAAAAGTAAAAAGGTCAGAATAGTGAAAAGTTGTTTGTGAAAATGTAACATGGGCATAATTTACCATCATAAGGAACCTCCGCAAACCAAACCTTCCTTGTGGTGGTTACTGTGCCTTCTCCTATTAAGATGAGCACCCTTGAAAGTCATTTATGAATGACTTCTCTCATTTTACAGCTGAAGCATGGCAATACAACCATACAGAAAGCTGTTCTCTGCTCTTTTTCTGGCTTTTTGTGCTGAGCAAGCTGGTTGTTCCCTAGCTAAGCTGCCTGGTCTTTGTTCCCCTACAAGCAGCAGTACAAGGAGTGTGTCTCGCTCTTGGAGTGCCCAGCTTGGACACAGTCTCTGGACTCACTTCTGAGCACCACCACTGGCTCACTCTGTGGTTCTGCCACCTTGTTTAACCTCGTTGTGTTTCTGTTTCCTATTTGTAAATGGAGGCTAATAAGCCTTAACTTTCAGGAAGGACCAAAGCACACTGATCCTCAGGAAACGCTGTTACTCACACAGCGTGTATCGCATTTGATCCAATATTAACACCACGTTACCAAGGGAGAGTTCAAACCATTTGCATTTAAGTGTGACCGTGCGCTTGGAAATTTATAGTGGATCCTTGGGTGGTAAAAATCATTTCTGTGGCGCTTTCTCGCTTGGTATTTTCCACTAACTAGTCTAGTCTAACTAGACAGAAAACATTTTGGCACAGGGAACGGGAACTAGCTTACTCCAAGGATAAGGGAGGGGAGATTATGCTGGCCAGATATCTTGAAAATTGCATACCTGTAATTTATACTATCTATGCCAAGTTAGTTTTAGATTAAGAATTGAAATGTGATAGCTGTTCTCATGTAGATCAAATAAGAGCCAAATCTTTATATATTTACTTTGTAATACGGATTTGACAGTACCAGCTCAATTATCTGGAGGCAAGTTTACTTCTCAGCTCTTGGTGAAATTGAGACATTTAATGCATTATGCACAGTGGGAAATGTTCATCTGCACATTTTCTAGACTGAGATTAATAAAGTGTTCTGCTCTGAATAAGGATTTTGTTTATCCTAAATGAATGTGTTGCATTCTTTCCTAAAAATTAAAAATTAAACAGATGCCTTGTTATTTCAAGTCTGGGATACTGAAAGTGACCCATAGATGTGGCGAGAGTAAGTTGTGCCTCATTGACATTTACAGCCCCAATGGAAGATAACACGAGGCACAGCTTTAAATAGATTTTGAGAGTGCTGGTAGTTCTGCTGAATATGCTGGAAAAAATTTTAATATCTGGCCAAAGGTAGCAGAGATGTTTGTAAAATAACTGCTCTAAAATATTCCAGTAAGTGGCATTTCTTTAGCTATTAACACTTACCAGCAACCAGGTCAGCACACTTCTGTCTTTTAAACAAAGCTCTGCTAAGTTGCTTGCATACAACTTAGGGAGTAGGAAACCATTCATGGTGCCATGAGTGCCTGAGAAAAGCTAAGGGTATGGAAATAAAATTGGCTGTTCTGTGCCTCCACAGTCTGGAAAAACTTACAGGCATACAGGGCTTCTCCTTGTCAATGGCCTTTTAACTGCAGGGAAGAGCTTGCCTAAGCTGAGAATGTCAGTTTGTGCATGTTATGTTGACAACAAGTGTATCCAGCAGTTTAATACCAACAAGATGTAATACTTTGCTAATCAGGCAACTTATCTGGTGACGTTAGGCTGCCACAAACTAGCCACCATCTGTGGATCATGTCTGCTAGTTTTTGACTGGGATCAAACCCAGATCAGAAGTGTTATTAGTAGACAAAAAATACATACATGCTTAATTACAGAAAAGGAAAACCATCTTATTGTTTAGCTTTATGGTTATTCTTCATACCTTCGCTTTATCAGTTCATCATACAATCTGAAGTGTTTGCTTTTTACCAGTTAGTGATACAGTCATCAGTAGGACAATTTAATTTGATGTTAAATAAATTGAATTAAGTTCTGCTGCTGTTGAGTCATGTGGTACTGCAGATCTGAAATCAAAGTTAAGATTCAGTTTGAATAAGTCTGGCAAAGTCAAGCATTATATCCTGGCAAATGGCTACAGGCAGTCATATTTCATTGACTAATATGCCTAAAATAGAAAGGAAAGTAAGAATGTAAGTATGAAAATATACTGCACAAAATATTTACTTGTTGTTGTTGTTTTAGTAAAGAGAATACTCTGCACTCCTTGGTAGCCACTTTTATTCTGACTCGTGGCTGCTCAGATTGAATTCTGGGTACAATATCTCATACATACGCCATTTAGGAATTATTTGTGAAAAGCAGATTATCCAGGCTAAATGTGCTACACTGAACCAGTGAGAAGAATCAGGTAAATCTGTGGAAACCTATTCTCCCAGACACTACTTTGTGTGCTTTAAAAATACACACCAGCAAATCGGGTCTTACCCTTTAGATACCACTCTAGGGTTTATTATGTATGACTAGTAAAAATACATCAGTATGGTCCAATCTTTGCTGAAGCATTTTGTAAGCATGGATTTTGGAAAGGCTAGTCTCAATATTGCCTTTTAGCTGCAGCTGATCTCCTGTTAGCTGAGCAGCAGCAGACTGTTCTGCCCCATCCACCCTCTGTGCCCCTCTCCCACGGGAGGCAACTATTCCCTTTCACCACACTTTTAAGCAATTCTCCTCCTTCCATGTTTTTCCTTAATGAAGGCAGTTGTCCTTCTTTTTCCATTGCCAGCAGAGGTCAAGAAATAGGATAAAGGAAAAGAGGGGAGCAAGGGGCTGCTCCTGGAAAAGCAGCAGCTCCTGGTATCTCCCTGCAGCTATGACAGAAAAAACAGGGGGGTTGGTGCAGCCTTCATGGCTTTAAAAAACATTTCTCATCTCTTCCAGGCACAGGTGGCAAAAGCTGAATAGCATCTTTACTTGGGCAAGACCTGCTTTATTAACTACACACCATAAATAAAAACCTACTTAGAGAATCCAATTTTCCATACAGAAGGAAAAGCTAGTCCTCGTTTTCAGATGTACCACCATCTCCATTAATTTGTGCTACAGCCTAGTAACATCTGCTTGTTACCATATCAGATGACTTTCAGTCACACCAGTAAATTAAATGTACTATTCCCATCAGGACAGATTCTTCTTGGAAAAAGAAAAATAGCTTTCAGGTTGTTTCAAATAAGCTAGTTGCTTAAAAAAATCACACACCACGTTACAAGTTTCCTACCGCTATGATACTTCATATGGCATGATACTTCAACAGTTCAGTCTCAAATCTGTTCTTTAGATCTTTTATCAAATATGCTTACAAGTATACCTAGCACCATTGATAGCAAGATGTAGAATAAGTATCCGTATCACTGAATGTGAGCCCTGTGCATATTTGAATTATTTGAGACTTGAAATCTAACAAAACCGTTTTCTCTAATATGGAGAAAAAAAGACACAGAGAAATTAAAACACAATTACAAGCTCTTCACAACTTCTACATTCTGAGGACATTCCTATTCTGTAAGGGTACAGCTGTTGGATACCTCCCTACCAGCTGAACTATTCAGGGGAAACCTGGCTGACCCACAGTGTGTGCTTTTCTGTGAGATTTGTCTGAGATTGGAGGAAAGCCTGCTTGCCAAGGGAAAAATAAACTCAGTTCCAAGCCAGCCAAAAGCAGGCCCTTCTTAGCCAAGAAACTAATTTATAGACCACCGAGTAATCCTGCAATTAATTGTTCTCTGCAACCCATAGAACAGCTGACATCTGGATTCACTTTCTAAGCTCTGAAAGGACCACAGAATTTGAGGGGCTTGGGACTTCAACATGTGGTTAAAGCACCCAGTACCAATTTATATTCAGAGCTGGCTGAGAATATGGCTGATAAGCTCTCCAAAATCTTTGCAGGCTATCGCTTATACAATCTGTGAAAGCAGGAGCAGGAAAATATCTTATTTGAATGAACTATACTGAGTCATTATTCTTTATAGGATACAAGTCTAGTCACCTGTTCGCAGTTCTGGTTGCTGAAGAGAAACTTGTGTGCAG